CCCCCCCCCCCCCCCCACCCTGTCTTCCCCAATCTTCCCAACACCCCGGATTGACCACGGCAAATTTATTCTGGGCTCCTAAAAAGGACTATTGAAGTTAAAAGCCTGAAGGGCTCCTTAAAAATTTCCTTAGGCAACAGCCTTGGTTAGACACCTTAAACAATGTTCTCTCAAGGAAGGAACATGTGAAGTATTCTCAAGGAAGTAATAGGCGTGGTGGCCTTATGATTAGCATGAAGCACACTGGATGGAGCAGTCCAGCTTTCAATTAGTCTGTATAAATGGATACCTGCACATTTAGTGGTGGGGGTAGGGAGTGGAAATACTCCTAGCTGCTTAATGCTTAGCTACAGAAAGCAGGATAACCTGCAACAGTATGGACCACTTGGCCTAACAGAATCTTATCCTTAGTTTATTAAACACATAATTCATTCTACTTTCATACAAGGCATATTCTTTTTTTTTTTTTTTAGGGCCAGAGGAAGACACTCCTAGGCCCATGGAATGTATGGAGTTTGTCTGCAGAGCACCAACAGAACTTTTTAAAGCAAGAAGAGAGCACCCACCATTTGTGGTTCCACGGCAACCTGACCTTAATGACTTAGCAACAGCAGCAGAACAGCTTCTTCAAAATGAACAATCCTCGACAACTTCAATTTAGCACTCCATTTTTTTAACAGTCATTTTCCTTGTTTGATCTCTAAACCTCCCATGGTGATGTCAAGCCCATCTTTACCACTTGCAGTGATGGAAGCATGCAGAACATGTGACTTGTACATTGTACTGAACGACTAGTGTATGGCGAAATGTGATATGTTATTCAAAAGAAGTGCTTTTATTCAAGAGACTCTTGTAACTCGTTCAACAATGCCTTGAGAGAAACATGTACATTCAAACAAGAGCTGGAATAAAATAAATAATAATAACAAGGCCATACTCCATTCTGTCCCATAGTAAACATAGGATGTCCATTTGGAAAGTCGTGTAGCTTGTTGTTGTTGTTGTTTTTGCATTGATTTACTTTATGTCTATCTCAAAACAGGTTTTAAAGACCCTGAAATTGGTTTTTATCTATCCCATAACCGTTTGTTTTTCACCCCTTAACATGTCTTACTTCAGTTTTGATGGACTATAACAGCCCAACTTTGCACTCTTTTGAAAATTTTTTTCAAAAATTTTTCCTTTCTCTAGTTGGTGTTTTCTTAAGTCTTTTACCCTTATATGTGATAGTTAAACAATTTAACCCTTGATAAACAGCCAAAACGAACGACCGTTTGCCTAGGATAGACTGGGCACTAGTAGGTTTTATGACGTTATTTCTCAAAATCTACCCTCATGACCCCTCTGTTTTAGTATTCAAACAAAGTAAAATAAAAATCTCGTAAGCAGAATTTTTGCGAACAAAGAAAATGGGAAATTTTGCCTATTTAAAAAATAGCTCGAAGTCTATCTTACAGCTTTTGACCCTGAGCGCGATTCACCTAAAAATCAACTGTAAAAACTTCATCATAGGTCGTGCAGTAGGTTTTCGAGCAAGTTTGGATCAGAAACAGGATCGTGTGCGAGAAGGAAGAAAAAGTAAAATTAAAAATTAAAGCTCAGGGACCGGGTTGTTCAAAAGCTAACCCAGGATTAAAAGTTAACCGAAGGATCAATTTTTGTTGTAAATACGTTTTTCACTGCTTATGTTTTGTGTGGTTCGAGATTACGCAAGCTCAAAACTGAAGGACTAATAATATAAACAGAAACCTCACGGAAAAACTACAAAACCGAAATCAAAATTCTCGCGAACAACCCGCCTGTGTGTATAATAAATTACATTGAAATAAAACTTCGTACTAAGTATTTACATGATAAATACAGTCCATCTAACATTCGAGAAGGGAAGAGTTAATGAGAACCCTTCTACCACTTGTTCATCTTTCTTTTTTGTCAAATTTCATTCGTCGCGCAGCGGGATTTTGTAATTTTGAAGCTTAGCACTAAGAGTTTTGTTGCAGTTCCCCCATACGACACTACAATAATCGAAATGGGGTTAGAGAGATAGATCGGCAGATCATTTATATATAGTATAAGTAGAAGAGGGCCTGTTTATAGAACAGGGACATATTTTCCTTGCGCATCGAATATTCCACAAGTCGGACTGTGGCTCTTCGAGAGGGAACCGTGGACAAAGCATTTTTGGACGCATTGCATTGGACGCAAAGCATTGGCTGAATGGAAACAATTGCCTTGGGCATCGACTTTTAGATAGCTAAGGGTATGTAAAGGCAGCTAAGGGTTAGGTTTGATCAGAGTTAGAGTAAGAGTTAGGGGTAGGGTTATGGAGAGGTTGGACGGAAATCATTCCCTTGCGTATCCACCATTCCCATATTGGAAAGGTCACGAAAATGCCAAGAAATCCCATCACGCAGACGTCTCTTAAAAAAAAAATTCGGGTTAGTATTGCGGTTAAACAGTTTAAGTATCGGAAAAACCCATATTGGATTCCTAAAAAGCCTGTTTTGGTCTCGGAAGAACCGTTTCAAGATTCATATAAAATCGGTTTTACGCTCGGTCGAAAGCAAAAAACGGTTTTGAGTGGGAATTTCGTAACAAAGCAGTTTTAGGGTAGTTAAAACTCTCACCCTACCCTTAACTTTAACCGGAACCCAAACAGTAAATCGAGCCCAAGCCGATTTTGACTTCATCCCAGAAACCGGCCTTTTATAACTGAGTCATTCGACGTTAAAATCGGGCCGCGTTTTCTAATGGCCTAAACTGCCTTTTCACCAGATTACCTAGACTGCTTTTTTCACTTTTTAAACCAATTTTTTTTTTTCACCCCGAAACCCTAGTTTTCAATCCCGAAACCAGTTTTTTGCGACCCTGAACCGAGTTTGTCGGTCGCCCGTTTTTTGAACCCGAAACCGCTTTTTTGCAATGCCAAAACCAGTTTTTGCTCGATACCCAACCCAGATTTTAACAAACCTCAAAGCGGTTTTTATGAACCTCAAACCGGTTTTTTACAACCTTAAAATTGTTCTTTTTAATCGCAAACCCGTTTTTTGTGAATCCAAAACTGGTGTTTTCCTATCCAAAAACTGGTTGAAACTGAACTGACCCCTCAGAATTTCTTCCAAATGCAACCAAAGGCGTATTTAATGCCTCCGATATATAAACAAACCAACCATTTCTTCTGTTGCTAAAAATAAACTATACCTATTCAAATATTATTTTACAGTATATTTACAGTACATTCAGTAATACATCACAGATGACGTCAAAATGTGGTAAGAACAAAAAGGTGGCAAAGTTCATATTGTTAGTCACGATCAAACTACATTTCAATACTATAGCATTCGATACTGTCATGCACTCCTGAACAATTTACTTTAATTTCTTTTGAAAGAAGTGAACTAAACATCAACTTGATAGCCAGATGTTCACAGTTCACCATTTAACAGATTCTTCCCCCGGTAGAAACGTTTCACTGCAGCTACAGTTGTATCACATCCCAGACCTTACACTACCTATTTTGTACGGTTCATTTGTTCTTGTTTGGCCATTATCTTTCTCAAGGAGGGTGATCGATTACTGCTGGGTGTTAAAAAATCTTGTGGATTGTTCCAGTTAATCTCCTCCATGTCCGTCCAGGTAACATGTATCCCATGTCCATAGTGTAAAGCTTGTGATCAATTGTCAGTAAGTAATACCAACTGACTCCAGTACTGTGCTAGCGCTGACCCATGTAGTGTTTGTGAGCCATGCATCATTATCAGTCTTTTATTAGGTCGCACATAATGTTTTGATGTCACATGAACGACTTGAATCAAACTGTGTCAGACACGGTAACTGATGCCACCTTCTCCATGTTGTAATGACGGAAAAAAGACTTGGAATATTCATAAGTACTGATCATGACTGCACATGCTGGAGCAACTTTCATGACTCTTGCTGACACACCTGGAAAATTCAGCAAAACTCTATCATGTTTAATACTCAGTGTCAGTATCTTTAGTGCAGTACTAAGTACAAGTTTAGTCAAGTACTACTCAAACGGAATTTACTATCTAAGATTTTTGCTTTAAAACAGTAAAGTTTGAGCCTACATAAAAATGTTCACTGTCTATTTTTTCCTGAACACCATGTAAAAACTGCTTTTCCAGCCGTTGCTTATAGACAAAAGTAATGCCGCAAATAGAAAAGAAACCTGTTTGACTACAGTGGAAGCTCTCTTATGCTCTCGCAAACAACCCTACTTATGAGCGTCTTCACCGCAAAACCGTGTTTGAACTCCCATACAAACTCTGTACAAACTCTGTAAGGGGACATTCCCATAAGGCGCTCACACTTTAAGGATTTACGATTTGGACTTATCGTTTCCTCTGTTTTTGAGATCCGGTTAGCGATCACCCGAAAGGGATAAGGCTTGAGTATAAAATATAGTCATAGACATTTGTGAATTGTGTCACTGGATTTTGTTGCTGTGAGACTGTCACTGTGGTTAATGTTAGCTGATCTGGTTAGTTAATTTTAGTGTTAGCTGCAATTATGATTTGTCCTTTGATCACTAATAGCCAGTCCTAGTATTGTAGTGCACAGTTATTGCCTGTATTGAACACAGTTATCGTCTTAGTTGCGGCATTGCACAGGCCAATAAAACAACAACAAAAAACTCATTTGATGCGGTGGCATTTTTTGCATTCCTAGCCAATCTCCCGTAAGCGACCATCTACATGTATCCCTTACACCTTGAGAGGCCGCTTATGACAACCATTCTTGTAAGCCTTCAGTTCCAGTTACGGACACCTTTTTAGTTTTGTATGTGGTCATAACAAAAACTCTTCCACACTTACCTGCAAAGAGACTCCTCCATCCACTTTCTCTGTACAGTTGAAACATCAAAGAGAATGTGAAAGGCAACTTCTTGACAGCACTTGCATCTTCTGTAAAGTTCATCAAAATTAATACAATGAAAACACAATGACGTTATTAATATAATGATAAAACATAACATAATGAAAAAAATGATAAGTTTTGACATTGTACAAACAAGGACTACATGGAATTGTACTTGCGTTGTGACATCACTGAAAATTAGGAACTTCGCAAAGTCTAGAATTCTCCATAACAACAGAGTAAGGTTTAGAAGGTCAAAGTCATTACATCAACAGTCAACAATACAGAAGTGATTTTGTTTGAAATCATGAATATCTCGAAATAATTAAGAAAAACCACAATAATTATAATGATAAGTGTTAAGTGTGACCCCATTTGGTCAGGGGTTCAAGCACTTTCATTAACAGCTAGTAAAGTGGTGTACATACTAAAGACAAGTTCTCCAAGCTCCATCTGCCTATGTGTCTTTACCACATCAAATGGAGTTGTGATCAATGCTGCAAACTGTCAAACAACAAAGTTCATCTTTACAAATTGGACTCAAGCTAAAGAATGAAGTATTTACAAACCCAAACATCACTTGTTGTACTTTTGCCGATGAGAATCGAGTTTCCAAGGGAATCTTGGCTTACAAAACCATCATAAGTTGCAGTTGTTTGTGTTAAATAATTAGCTAACAGGTTTGAAGTTTACAGTTTTCTACCTGTTTTGACTACAGTGTTTCGTGTCTGCACGTTTTGGATTGGATTTTGGATACACCATGTTGCCATTTATATTTTTTTTGATGGAAAATATAATTTCATTGGGTTTGAGGGCATTTTTCAGAATACAAAGTTGCAAGAAAAGTGCTTTGTCTTTTAAAAGTGCATATTCTTGCTAGTACAGTTCAGTTAAGATTGATCATTGCTCAAAAACATCACAAATTGTCATAAAGCAGGGTTCCAGATAAGTTCAAGGTTCGGTGTAAAGGTATTTCAACGGGTCAATTTCCCCTGCTCCAACCAAATCATTATAAATTTTCAGAGCAACTACACAATACAGGGCCACTTTTGAAGGTGCATATAATTATTTAGTGGCTCGTTTGGCTCGGCAGTGGATTAAAGAACAAGGAATAATCTTTATATGTATTAAGTCCTTGGTCTATACATTAAGTGGCTTGTTTGGCTTGGCAGTAGATGACAAAGGAGTAAACGAGCCAAACAAGCCAGCTTGTTTGGTGGATAAATGACTAAAAGTGGCCCTGTATTCTGTAGTTTAGCCAAATTTTCTATTAATTTGTCGGATCATGTTGCTGACCTTGTAGGGTGTTTGACCTGAGACCACCCCCCTCCACTTATCTGGAACTCTGATAAAGTAAGCATGGTGGAGACCAAGTGATTAAGCTGAAAATCAAACACTTTGCAGTCGAACCATTTACAAAGATATTGACTTTAATTATATGCCCAATGTCAACTTAATTAGAGAGAACTGTCAAGTACTTTGAAGCCTGGTACGTAGTGACTGGGACTGGGACTCAGTCTGCCTATTGCTTTAAATTCCATTCCAAACTGATGATGACGAAGGTGTCAACAGAAAGTATTTTGAAATTTAAGATAGCATTCACTTTTCTTAGGATCATTAATAAAAATTTAATAACAAGAATGTAACGTAGATAAACATGTAGTACAATAAAATATACTCACGGCTCCAGACAATACTCCAGAGGAAAAACTAGCCATGAAACCTGGCTCAGCAAACCTAGCCCTCAGAAGCTCATACCCTGTCCAGTAGACAGCTGAAAATACAAAGTACTAAAAATCACTGACATGATTTCCTACAATTACATACTTAATGTACTCCTTGGCTCCAAAATCTTGACCCACTTTCAATGCCACTATAACCAAATTGTTGGTCTTTCCTTTTAAATATTCATTTGGCTAGCTAAATCCCCTATGATCCTCCACTTTAGAGGTCAAGTATTACGACAATGACTTCACCAATGCAGAAGACAAAGAACATTCCCTTCTAGTGTGTTACTAAGGGATTTATCTGGAACTTTTGCACCACTTTTAAAACAAAACATTGTTGGTTTCCACAGAGACACAAGAGATACAAAACACTGCCATTTTGGATAAAATGGTGGCAAAGTCATAAAACCTCTGATACTGGTTGACAGCACCACGTACACTTTTTTTTGTGATTTGCCAAATAGTTTTCTGGATTTGACAATTTTTTTTGTGAATCACTTTTGACTTTTGTAAAAGGTTATGTGTGGACACAGTAATTCAGTTGTATTAAGATTTGTAATAATATTCTAAGATCTACAAACTCCTCAACAATGATTTGCAATGATGATGGAATATAAAAGAATTTTTCCAATTTTGGAAAAAAAAAATGGGATTGTCCCTTATTGACAAAAGTAGCTAGGAATGTTTCAGTTCAAATTTTCAGTAACTACATATTTCAAAAATACAATATGCCGTACTTCTTAATGTCTTTCAAATAACTAGTGTTGGTAAAAGTTTGTAAATCAAACCTGTATGTGCAATTTGCTTGTTGTTGTATTGCATATCACTTAAAAAAATATAGTGCGATTTTGATGTCCAGTGATGAAGGTTAAAGTAACAAATTTGATTATCCAAATCATCCCTCATGGTAAATGCTATGTACCTGAAAATGGTACATCCCTCAATAATGTAGGCCCCAGTCCTTGCCAGAGAGATAACACTCCACCTTGCTGAATGGCATTCTTGATTACACTGATAAGATCTAAAGGTGAATTGAAGGAATTTTTAGCAATAATAAGATAAGAAACAAGGCTGCTACATGGTCATTTATTACATCTTGGGCAACCTACTGACTCACACAACAAGTGCATAAATTAAGTGTTAATGCATTAGTGGCCCATACTTATTCAGTTTCAAAGTTTTATGTAACTAAATCATTAGGTCACTTATACAGGGACAGGGCACACCAAAGCAGCAAAAGCCTCAACAAAGTTGGTTTATGGCCTGTTTCAGTGCCTGGAAACTCTTACAGCATGCACTATATAAATCTCCAAACAAATATGTATCTTACGTACAACAGAAAACTGCAGTGTTGCCTTTGGCAAAAATGTGTTCAAAATGCTGAAAAGACACTTGCAAACATAATTTTGTGGAGCACAGTGCTCTCCACAACAATTTTAAGTTACATGACTTTGTTTAAAAGAAAAATATTATAAGTGTCACCTGTGAACAAGTACTAATAGTACATGTAGGAATGATTCAAGTATGAAAAATACAAGGTTAATATCATTTGCAGTTTCACCTTCGCTAAACAGAAATTGTACAATTTAAAAAAATGTAACTTAAATCATAGAACAATTCAAACTTTAATGAGGTTAGAATAAGAAATTTATGTCTGTACCTTTATAACTGAAATGTTTCTTTGCCTGCATTTTGGTTCTGATCATTTCTATTGGTGAGATGCAGGTTATAGAAATAGCTGCAAATAAAAAACAATCACTATATAATAATTGTTGCGCCTCATCAAACTGAAAATAAAACTAACTTCATGCCACCAGTACAAAATAGTTACAATGTACCTAGAAATGTATGCTAGAATTCAATGATGATCAACTGAGGAGAAAAGAAGTCAGTGTTTAGTGTAAATATTGTGCTACAGTCCACTGTAGGAAAAAAGATGGCAGCTGTACATTTTACCACAATACCTTGCAAACCTGACACAGCCTATAGGGCACAAAAAAAGCCAAATTTTTACAACATTTTCCACTTTGCTATAAGGGCATTGAGTAGCCTAGGTTTGAAGATTTTATCATGTTTCTGTACGGTTTTATGAACGTTGCTAAGGTTTTCGTGCGCTAAGAATTATGGGTAAATGTACCAGTTGCCATCTTTTTTCCTACAGAGGATTGTAAATGCACATGTATACATGTAGAGTCAGATGAAGTCTGCTATTCAACATACAAGTTCATGTCTAACTTAAAGTTACTTGGTATCAGCTAGGTTACCTAAAAAAAACACTTCTAGCATGTATGTGGGTCACACAAACTTAGCAGATAAGCACGGGGCAGGGAGGAGGGTTACATGAATGTAAATTGTCCAAATTATCAATCACTGAATAGGCTCCTCTTCTCGCTAATAATCTTGAAATATTTATTCCTGATAGGAGATCTTACTTCGAGCAGTTATTCCAGCAAACATTGGTGACCAAACATTTTTCCGTGCTTCTTCAAAGCCATACATCACTTTGAGTTGATCATAAAGTGTAAAATAAATCATTGTGTTTGGAATTGCCATTACACTGCAACGCAAATAAAAACAATATGTCGTTGTGTTTGCATCCTACAAGGACATTTCTCCATGACCCAAGGTTGCTATACATATCCAATATTCATGGACACAGTAAATTTGACTAAATTTGACAAACATAGTAAATTACCAGAATAAAAGGTTAATTAACATGTTATAAACCTTACAATATGCATTTAGGATCTGATTTGACTTATCACCAATCAACACAAGAAATGTTTGAATTATTCCTATGTGAATTGAATGATCTGGCATTAATCTTGTGAAAGAGTATGCTCATAAAAAATCTCAACTCTAAATACAGAGTTACACACACACACACAAAAAAAACATCAAATAGTAATCAAATGACAACAATAAATGCAGTGAAGGAGATGGGCTACCATTCACAATCATAAATTTGGTCACTTTCCTAGTTTGCAATGTACAATAAACAATGTTGTTTGAATATTGTGCATCGTGGTAAGTGATAAAAGGTCTTTAAAATCAAAGTTAAATTTTTACACAAGTCATCCTTCTTTTCACTGATACTATCAAAATCCATGAAAAGCAATATTAAATTACAGTTTATGATACAGTGTACAATCAACGCAAACAAACATCTTACAGAGTTGGTGGTAGGCCCCTCCAGAGTGCTGACAGACCTTCATAGCGAGGTATTTTGATTAGAGCATCCTGGAAGGAAGCCATCATCTACTTAGTTATTTATCAAACAAAAACTTGACAAGGCTACCTTTTAACTTGAAGATAATTAATATATAGAACAAGGAAGCACCCTACACAACATAAGTTTAATTTATAGTTACATCTGTTACGGAATATTTCAGATCCTACCCTTTCGAGAGAGGAAAGCACTCTTAATTGTTATGGGCCCATGTAAGGAAATGACCTTCATAAGCATTATATCAGGTTGCTCTTCATCCCCTCTTCAACCCTTCTCCTAAATCCATCTGCAGTGGACTAACACAGTGGCCTCACCAGGATTTTGCCTTGGGGGGTCCCAGGGCCCTCCCAGGTTCAAAGTTAATCCCAGCCTGTAACTTTGCTCCCTACAAAAACCATGAGGAATAAATAACACAAGGCCACAATCCACAAGGTCAGTTATATGATTCAAGATCATGGCTGAAATTGTACCGTGAGTGTCTTATTTTCAAGCAAAAAAACTGAAGTATTTGATTGTCAATTGAAAAAATTGCCCACTATTTTCTCATAAGTCCATTTTCCTCATGGCATCTGATCTTAACTTGTGTGCCAAAAAGGATGCATTTACTTGGCTTTAAATGCACCATTTCAATTTTTTGAAGGATTCCCACAACTAGACAAGGTAGTGCCCCAGTAAGAACACTGCAAACACATGGAACAGAATATTTGGAGCAGACTAGGTTGCAATAAAACAATGAAAAGACTGTATAAAGATTCCCTTTCTAAATTTCAATTTTTTTATATTGCACTCACTCATAGCTAAAATAGGCCCTTTGCATGATCCGGTCACATGGAAAAAAATCACACATGCTGGTGAGCAAGTTGCACAGTGGGACTTCCAAAACAATGCCACTTGTGCCAGTCCACCTGGACCTGCCTTTGTTTTGGAAGTCCCACTGCTGAACTTGCTCACCAGCATGTGTGATTTTGTACCATGTGACCGGATCGAGCAAAGGGCCTATTTAATCGTACAAAAATAAGTTTAAAATAAAAACGAGTACATGCCCAAAATAACCTTAGTGAGCTAATAAGACTGGGCAGCCATCCAAAAAAGAATAAACATACCAAAGTTGAATTAAAAGGAGGATGAGGAGTATGAGGAAATGGTCTGAATGGAGAGCCAAGGTTGGCACACAAACATAGATGATCCATGAGGCCATTGCAGAACAAATAACATGGAGCTAACAACAAAAACAAAAACAATGGAATAGAGTTAACAACATGTTCAAAATGTACATACAGTCGAATCTCCCACAAGCAACCACCCAAAATGTCAAGCCCAGGTAGTCGCTTACAGGAGCTTAGACCATATTGAGTCAAAATTTTGCCTCATTAGCATTATGGTTACTGCAACTCCGAAACCCATGAACACCAGAAATATTTATAGAATATTATTGTGTAGCAAGGAAAAGGCCAATATTTAGGCATATGAAAACAAACCACAAACAGCAAAAATATAATTTGGTATGTGGTTTCAAGGATTGCTCTGGTGCCTGAAGTACACAATTGAATCAAATCTCAAATTAAAGTGATCACAGTATTTCGACTCTTACAGTAAATTCACTAGTACCCATTAATACACCTAGGTGGAGAAAAGCACTGGGAGAGTAAAGAGTCTTGTCCCCAAAATGACAACGGACCACATGATCTGGATTCTACCACACTTACCATTAAGACTCCACACCACCACAGGTAAGGTTTAAGAAATACTCCAAAATTGACATAATTTTTTTGAAGAAATTATTTATTGCTATTTTCTGATAGACCTCCTTGAGACCTTTTAATTCACAGAAAGGCTGATTCCAAACAAAGTTATGAAGGAAAAATTATTCTCAGCTAGCTCCTTTATAAATGATAGCTATCATTAAATTGTCACTCTGTTTTTTGCCTAAATCAGCCAGAGAGACTAATATAAAAGGTTGTGTTCTTTTTCCAGTGAAAAGAAGGCACCCAAACAGATAAAAGGGGTCAAAATTTTTCAGTAAGGCTTGAGCTAGGCACTACTGTCAGTGACCAAAGTGGTATATTGAACACAGATCAGTGAAAACAAAAGTTAATAATAGAATAAGATCATTAGAATTTAGTGCTAGCCAATTAAAAATTCCTGAAAAGATGACAGATGAATGGTGAGAATCACAAAAACATGAGCCTAACCCTAAGGTGCTACAAATGTAAAATGCATTGCAATGCTAATCACCCTCCCCTGCTAAAATATGCCCCATAATGAACTCAATAAGTCTCTGCACTTTTGGATATCAAGTGCTATATTCAGGACAGAGTAAATTTTTAAGTTTTACTTAAAATGAATACATCTTTGTCCACTAAGTTTTCAGAAAATATATGCTTTGAGACGAGGGGCACAAAGCATATTGTTGGTCATCTGGGATAGCTTTACTGTACCATGACTAATACCTGATCCACAGTACACAGTAAGTATGAGTATAATTACATTTTGGAATAGGTTTGAGCTGGGCCTGTAGTCTTGTTTTAACCACATCTAGAGGAGTCACTACAAAAGAAAAAATAATCAAATAATACCAATTAGTGTTTAGATTTCATGTGTTGCATGAAACTTAAATAATATTATAGCCTTACCCTAGAGAATCAGCTTGCTCAAGGCTTCACCCAAAAGCACAAAACACAATTATACAGAGATTGAAACAGCACTTATTTACACATTTGAGAGTGTGTAATATTATATGTGTATATAAACTGACAAGTTGCTTAGAAAATGTGTATATTAGATACCATTTCTAAACTTGCTTAAAATGGACAACTGAAACCAGATGCCTCCAATAAACCTGTTTGTTTCAAGGTCATATCATTGCTTTTTATACAAGTTTTAAGAGACCGCACTTAGATTAAACATGTTGATTCCAACGTGATCTAGTTATGTCAAATTTAGTTTGTTGTGGATAATTACCTCAGTATGTAATGCCAAGAGATTTGCAAACAATGTAACAAATTTGAGGTGGGCCATATTATGAACATCTGATGAACACAGATGAACAAAACATCAGGTCTAAAGAATTAAATCCCTAGCAGACATCAACTGCCAGTGCTTTGTAGTAGCACTGATATTACTTATTATCACACTCCATTGAACTCTTTTTTTAATAAGTTTCCAAAAGGACTAGGTTTAGATTTGTTACCTGAATGATATTCTTGGTTGCCAACAAATACAACACCAGACAACATACAATTAAATAGTCTAGTCTTATCTTCTAGATATGATTCGCGAAAAAGAACACAGGACGTAACATGTCGATTATTTCGATAGTCGATAAAAATCGATCATTGTCGATCGTTGTCGATACTAGTCAATCGACAAATATTGGAAATCGATAAAAGTTGATCACACAATTTATTGTGATTATCGACTTTGTTTGATTATGATTGATTTTGATCGATTTTGATCGATTTCAATCGACAAGTATCGGAAATACAAAAACGATGTATGGCATAGGCATACGTAGGTTGTGGAGTGTACAACAGTCACAGGTGCAAGGAGAAGCAAGGGGCATACAAACCCAGCGAATACAGCCAACCTAGCAGAGAGGGAGGAGAGTCGTAGGAGCTTGTATTTTTCAAATGTTGAACTGAGTAAAAACACTGATGAAATAAAATGTCAATTTACTTTACTTTACTTCTTAATTACTTTGCTGGCCCCGATTTTTTCCCGCATCTAGTCTAAACTTTGACCCGTTCTGTCCCCCCGAAGAAGTACAACTTTGAGTTCCCAGGATCTCTCATCTCCCCGCCTAGAGAGACCCTGGGAACTAGTTTGGTTCGAGTTATGCAAAAGATCGCGATTTAGTTCAGCTGAAACTGTTAATCGATCATTTCTTGAGGTAATTTAAACATTCTATTCTGTAATGAATAACAGACCACTTGGTTGTTCAGGTTTTTATTTAAGTTTATTGCCACACAGATTTACTGAAGAGCTGTTTACACTCGGCATTAAAAAAAAGTCATTGGAGCTATTATTGGTTTGGTTACTTGAATTTCGTAGCTGATTGAAACATTTTTCTGCATTTTTGTTGATAAAATCGATAATCAATTGAAAATCTTGTGATTATCGACTTTTATCNCGGCTACCACTGATGGTACAATAATACAGTTTGTGTTGATCAAGTGATGTGATGTCTACAGTAAGAAAAGAATCATCAATGACTGCTTTGAAATGTGCCCTAG